AGATCTGTCCTCGCAGAGGAGGGAGAGCTTGTACCTGAATAAAACTTGGTCTTAAAGGTGCCACTGGACTGTCTTGGACCAGGGGGCCGGGGGGGGGGGCTCTGCAGCTTACCTGGCTGATTCTTGCTCTGACTGAGGGCTGCTGGGAGCAGGGGGCAGGGCTTGTTGCATGTGCCCGCCCCCTGGGCTCTTTACTGCCGGAGCTCCGCTCCTGTGACCTCCTGCAGGAAATGACCCCTGCTTACAAGCATTGTGCAGGGGTTTGGACTAGATGATCCTGGAAGTCCCTATGATGACAGCAACACGACACCCACAAGCCTAAGCAGCGCAGGGACTCCCTGCCTCCCGGCCCACCAGCCCCTGGCTTGACTCACCCGGCCCCGGCAGGTGACCTCCTCCCCCTGCATGAGGCAGGTGCCCACGGCAATGTAGCCCTTCAGTCCCGACACCGTCTCCTCGCTCTTTAGGGCCACTGTCTTCATGCAGGTCACGTGCTCCCACTCCTCCAGGTCAATCCTGCGGGTGGGGAGAAGTCAACGGGGGAGAGCCCTTTTCCATCACCTCTCCCCCCCCTTCCCAAAGGCGGCCCAGCTCCCACGGGGACTTCCAAAGTCACCAGCTGGGAGACGGGAGTGAACGATAGCTTCAGAGGGGAGCCGTGTCGGCCTTCAGGAGAACAGAAAGATCGTAGCACCACGGAGAGTGAACAAAACATTTCAAATGGGACTCCCCCCCCCCCCCCCCCCCCCCTGCTCTCAACAAACAGGGTCCGCAGGAATTAAGACCGACAGAAGTCAGGGTTCTCAGCCAAAGTCCCCCTCCCCAAGTGAGATCCACAAAGCATCCTCACGGCAGACCGTTGTACTTTGCCAGGCGTTTCAATACTCAGGAGCAAAGTAAGCTAGCTCAGTTTCTTAGCCTCCGGCGCACACATTTTTGTCCCGGCTCAGGAAGGAGGGGGGCTCCAGAGCAAACTAACTGATGCAGCAGCCCAATCGCTCGCTCACAGCTTCAATGCCGGCAGCTCAAAGTAGATGTTTTGCTCACAAGACACCACAGCTTAGAGGGAGCATTTGCTCAGGAGCGCTTATGAGGGTTACAACCAGTGTTCCCTCTAAGCTGAGTTAGTGTGAACTAGCTCACTTTTTTTTAGCCTCTGGCTCACACATTTTTGTGTCAGCTCCAGAAGGAGGGCTCTGGAGCAAACTAATTTATGCAGCAGCCAGATCGCTCGCTCACAACTGTAATGCTGGTAGCTCACAAAGTAGAATTTTTGCTCACAAGACTCCACAGCTTAGAGGGAACATTGGTTACTACAACAACACCACACTGAATAATACACTTTCAATCCACTTAAGCAATCATTTGCAGACGGATTTTGCCATTTCGCACCGTAAAAGCCAGTTGCAAAGTGCATTGAAAGTGCATTATTCAGTGTGTGTGTGTGTGTGTGTGTGTGTGTGTGTGTGTGTGTGTGTAAGCAATGGCGTCCTTAACAGCTTGGATCCCACAGAAATTCTCCAACGCTTGGGAAGGGGAGGCCTTTTCACCGGTTTCCCTCTTGCGCTGCATACCCCTGATTCACGACGTCCCCAGGGATCCTTCATCCCCCGGACCAGTATTTGGGGCTTCGGTGGAATGGGGGAGGGGATAAAGTCCCACTCTGCTGATGTGCACCTTTTTTGCATTTCCTTTGCTTCGTGTTGCAAAACTGTTGATCAAACACAGCCTTGTGCACCAAGGCCGCAAAGCAGATGATACCTCCGAAAAGGTGATGACTAAATAATAATATTTAGAAGAAGAAGAAGAGAAGATTGGATTTATACCCCACCCTTCACTACCCAAGGGAGTCTCAGAGCGGCTGTCAAATTCCTTTCCCTTCCCCTCCCCACAACAGACAGTGACTCCGAGGTAGGTGGGGCTGAGAGAGCTCTGGGAGAACTGTCGAAGAAGAAGAGGAGGAGGAGGAGGAGGAGAAGGAGATTGGATTTATCCCCCGCCCTTCACTCGGAGTCTCAGAGCGGCTCACAGACTCCTTTCCCTTCCCCTCCCCACAACAGACCCCCTGTGAGGCGGGTGGGGCGGAGAGAGCTCTTGACAGAAACGGCTCTTTTTCAAGGACAGCTCTTATCAGGACTATGGCTTGCCCAAGGCCATCCAGCCAGGTGCAAGTGGAGGAGTGGTGTGGGATCAAACCTGGTTCTCCCAGATTAGAGTCCGCGCACTTCACCACCACACCAGACTGGCTCTCACAGCATCACTGGCTCCGGGCCTCATCTTCAGCTGCAGCGGAGAGAAACTCTCCTCCTCCTCTGGCCCTCTCTGACGCCCGCTGAGTGACTCTCTGCCCTGCCCAGTCACCCCAGGGCAGTGAGCCCACCCGGCTGCTGTTCCCACCCATCCCGGGTGCCGTACCCAGTGCCAGGCTGTCCTCAGCCCTGTCTCCTCCCGTCCCAGGGAGAGCACAGAGGCTGCTGGAGACGGGATCTGGCTGCCCCGCGCCCGGCCCTCCAGTGCTTCTCACCTGGTATTGGGGATGGTCTCCCAGCTCACCGGAGAGATCAGCTGAATGGAAAAGGCCTCCTGCAGAGGGTGGATGTAGCGGTCATCTGGTGATGGGGAGAAGAAGGGGGAGGGGGCTGAGCTCACACGCCAAGGGGCACCCCCCTTCAGCAGATTGGGGTCAAGGGGGAAAGGCCACTGAAGGGGAAACCCACTTTGCCTGCTTCTCAGGAACCAGCCTCAAGACATGGCCAGCACAACGGGAAACCCCTGATGCCAAAGGCTCTTCCTGACTGAAAGGGGCATAACAGGTTAGGAACATAAGAGGAGCCATGTTGGATCAGGCCAATGGCCCCTCCAGTCCAATACTCTGTGTCACACAGTGGCCATCAGAGGGTCCACCAGTGGGGCCAGAACTCCAGAGACCTCCCACCCTTGCCTCCCAAGCACCAAGAAGACGGATAACATAAGAACGTAAGAGAAGTAATGTTGGATCAGGCCAGTGGCCCCTCCAGTCCAACACACTGTGTCAACCTAGGGGCCATCAGGAGGTCCACCAGCAGGGCCAGGATGGAGCAAAAACTCCACCAGGAATGACTCTGCAGTTGGGCTTCCCAGACAAGAGAGGCAGTGTGATGTAGTGGTGAGAGCGGCACACTATGATCTGGCAGGCCCAGGTTCGAATGCCGGCTCTGCCACTGAGGTTTTTTTTTAATTTTTATTTTTATTTATTATTTGATTTATATCCCGCCCTCCAGCGCGGCTAACGATTAGGGCTCAAGGCCGTGCTTAAAACAGTTAAAAACAAGATTAAACAACACAATAATACAGTAAAGTGCTGGTGCTCCAAACGTCCATGATTCCAAGACGGGTTCTGGCAAGATAGACCCAGAACAATGACGTAAGCTCCAAAGCGACTCTGCCATCCAGTCTTCGTCCCAGGGCCGTCTAGCACCCTGATGGTATCCACACCTTTGTGGTGGTGGTGCGCTGGTGGTATAGTGGCGGCAGCGGCTCCTACTCAAAGGCCTGGCGGAAGAGCTCCGTCTTGCAGGCCCTGCGGAACTGCGCAAGGTCCCGCAGGGCCCGGATCTCCTCCACCAGGTAGGAGCCGCCACCAAAAAGGCCCTGGCCCTGGTTGCCACGAATTTGACGTCCCTGGGGCCCGAGGTAACCAAAAGATGAAGGGCCCCCAACCGTAGTGCCCTTGGGGGAACATATGGGGAAAGGTATGCCGGACCCTGGCCATCTAGGGCTTTAAAGGTAAGAACCAGCACTTTGAAGTGAATCCGGTACGCTATTGGCAGCCTTGTTTGGTTGGCTTTAGCCTTGTCCTTGTCACCCTAACCTGCCTCACCGGATGAAATTGGGGGGGGGGGGAACACCCTTTATAAGGTACTTTGGGTTCCCACCAGGCAGAACACCGGGGCATAAACATCTAAATCAACGAAATGGCTCTGCGCAAACTCACGTACCTCGCTCGATGGTCTCGAATTCCTTCTCCTCTCCTGTCATGCGAGGGATCCTACTGCAAGAGTTGTTGATGCTGGTGGCCACGGCGTAGACCTGTCGGGATAAGCAAATCTGTTCCATACTGGTGGAATGAGCTCCCGGAAGACATCAGGGCCCCGCGGGACCTCCCACAGTTCCGCAGGGCCTGTAAAACAGAGCTCTTCCGCCAGGCCTTCGATTAGGAGCCGCCACTGACCACTGACTACGTACCGATAACATCTGAATGGTTAACATCTGAACTGTTAAGGCCCTCTCTGTTAACCTGAATAACAACAGCCAGTGTAATTCGACCCTATGGGATGCTACCGCCATCAGCATTTTATCTTTTTATATGTATTTATATGTATTGATGATTGCGATTTCTTGCATACTACGTTATTGCATTGTCTCAATGCATCTGTTTTTTAACGTATTTTAGCCTACTGTAAGCTGCCCTGAAGGTGCTGCGGTGGCTCAAGTAGTTAAGACGCTGAACTGCAGGCTGCAGAAGGTCGGTAGTTCAGCAGTTCGAGACCCAAGTGCGCCACATGATGCAGTGAGCTCCCGTCTCTGGTTCCAGGTCCTGCCAACCTAGCAGTTCGAAAGCAAGAAATTGCAAGTAGATAAATAGGTACCACTTCAGTGGGAAGGTACCAGCATTCCGTGCGCCTTGGTGTTTAGTCATGCCGGCCACATGACCACGGAAACGTCTTTGGACAGCGCTGGCTCTTTGGCTTTGAAACAGAGATGAGCACCGCAACCCTAGAGTCGGACTCGACTGGCTTTCGAGCAAGAGAAAAGCTGCCCTGAGCCTGCTACACAAGGAGGGCGGGATATAAATCGAATCAATCCATTAATTAATTAATTAAAGTAAGGGGGACAGGCCATTGAGCCAACGAGGAACACGCTTAGAACACCCTGCAGCGAGCTCCTGATTGGCACCCCAGATAACACCCGAGATGCCAGATCTGCACAGAACACTTTGTTCTTTTGTCCACGAAAGAGAGTTGTGCTTGTAGTTCTGGAAGAAGACAGCCTACGTAACCAGTGTTTAAGCTGAGTGAGCGTGAGCTAGCTCACCGTTTTTTAGCCTCCAGCTCACAGATATTTGTCTTAGCTCAGGAAGGAGGGCTCCAGAATAAACTAATTGCTGCTGCAGCCAAATCGCTCGCTCACAACTTTCATGCCAGGAGCTCACAAAGTAGAATGTTTGCTCACAAGACTCCACAGCTTAGAGGAAGCATTGTACGTAACATAACGCAGAGTTCCCAGTAATAGACAACGCGCAGAGTAATAGGCAACGCACCTTGGACTCGACATGGTAGGCCACGTAGTGCACAGTGCAGCGCAGGGGAATCTTCCGGACGGGCCACGGCGCATCATAGGACAGGTAGGCAGGCAGGACACTGATGCGCAACTCCCCCTGCAGCACAAAACACCAGCGGGTCTTCGTTGTTCATAATGCCCCCCACTGAGTCCCCCCAACCCATCCCAGTGCAGCCAGGGCACACAGCAGGCTGCCTCAGGCACAGAAATGTGGCAGGAGATGAATCAACACTACTTAAAGGACAAAGCGGGAGACCTCGTGGGCACGCCATGAAATGGCTGAGCGGTCGGGTTAGAACGGATGAAAGGAAGTCCTTCTTCACCCAAAGAGTGATTAACACACGGAATTCACTGCCACAGGAGGTGGTGGCGGCTACAATCATGGATGGCTTCTAGAGGGAATTAGATAAACATCTAGAGCAGAGGTCCATCAGTGGCTATTAGCCACAAGGTAGAGATAGGGACTCTCTGTCAGGGGCAAGGGATGGTCTGTATTCTTGGTGGCTGGGGGGGGGGGGGGCAAAGGGGGGGGGTGATTGATTGTCTCGGTCTGGGGCAAGGGATGCTCTGTCTTCTTGGTGCTTGGGGGGGGGGCAACAGTGGGAGGGCTTCTAGTCTTTTTTCTAGTCTTCTGGTCTTTTTGGCCACTGTGTGACACAGAGTGTTGGACTGGATGGGCCATTTGGCCTGATCCAACATTGGCGTCTCTTATGTTCTTATATAGAGCAGAGGTCCATCAGGGGCTATTAGCCACAAGGTATAGATAGGAACTCTCGGTCTGGGGCAAATGATGCTCTGTCTTCTTGGTGCTTGGGGGGGTCAACAGTGGGAGGGCTTCTGGTGTCCTGGCCCCACTGGTGGACCTCCTGATGGTCCCTGGTATTTCTGGCCACTGGTCTGATCCAACATTGGCTTCCCTCATCTTCTTATGTTCACCAACGCAAGACCACCTCTGCTCACCTCTGGCCTTGAAAACCCCACAATCCTGGGTTCGCCATGTGTCTGTTGCAACGTTACAGCACGCAATTGTTATTAAAGAAGTAAAGCAGCAAGTAATAGGGAGGGTGGCTCAGTGGTTGAGACGCTGAACTGCAGGCTGTGGAAGGTCGGTAGTGCAGCAGTTCGAGACCCGAGTGTGCTGCATGACAGAGTGAGCTCCCGTCTCTGGCCCCGGCTCCTGCCAACTTAGCAGTTCGAAAGCAAGAAACTGCAAGTGGATAAATCGGTACCGCTTGGGCGGGAAGAGAACAGCGTTCTGTGCGCCTTGGTGTTTAGTCGTGCCGGCCACATGACCACGGAAAAAGTCTTCAGACAGTGCTGGCTCTTCGGCTTGGAAACGGAGATGAGCACCGCAACCCTAGAGTCGGATTCGACTGGCTTTCGAGCAAGGGAAGCCTTTACCTTTAATAGGGCGGGGCAACGTCCCTCAGGGGCTGCGTACCTGCCGGTTGAAGTAGAGGAAGCCCTTGGGGCAGTTGACGTTGTGAAAAGGGGCAAAGGACTCAATGGGGCCATCGATGGTCATGGGGTGCAGGCGCAGGGCCCCCCGAGAGGTCACCAGCAGCCAGTGGGGAGAGGGGCCACAGATAAACACCTGGAAGGAGAAAGCAAACACCTGATTCGGGCCCGTAGAAGTCAGCACCAGTGTTCCCTCTAAGCTGAGTGAGTGTGAGCTAGCTCACAGTTCTTTAGCCTCCGGCTCACACATTTTTTTGTCTCAGCTCAGGAAGGAGGGGGCTCCAGAGCAAACTAATTTTATGCAGCAGCGAAATTGCTCGCTCACCCCTTTAGTGCCAGTCGCTCACAAAGTAGAATTTTTGCTCACCAGACTCCACGGCTTAGAGGGAACACGGGTCAGCGCCCCTCCTTCCCCAAGAAACACGGACAAGCTTCCCCACACCTTCCCACCCCAGACAAGCTTCCCCACACCTGCCCCCTCCACAAAGTGCCTCCAGTCCACTTGATGCTGTGCCCTTGCCACCCGCCACCCCACCTCCGGCGAAAGCCTCACCCCGGAGTAGCCGTAGATATCCTCGAAGAAGCGGAAGCGGGCCACCCGTCCCCGGCCGGCCCCTGACTCCTCCCCGCCAGAGCTCTCCGTCTTCTTTTTGGACAGCCTGGGCTTCTTCTCTCGGAAGTTGATGTTGTGGGGGACCTGGTCGGGAGAAGGCAAAGGGTGGCCGTGAGCGGCAGGCGCGAAGGGCTGGTGGACCTCAGCCGGGGGGGCTGTCCTGGGAAGAGGGGAGGCCCGGGGGCACGCTGGAGCGCCGGGGGTGTGTGTGTGCCCTTACCTTCTTGAAGCGCACTTTCAGGTTGGTCTGGGCCAGCTGCGAGTCGTGGTTAAAGGCTTCGTAGATGAGCAGCTCCTGATCTACGTGAACCTGCCAAGACGAAGAGGGGAAAAAGGTTTGGTTCCCCGTCTCCCTTACGCTCTCCTGCTTGCGGGCAGGGACTCGCTGGGCTGGGGGGCTGCAGCGGAGCGCTGGCGTTCAAAGTGCGTTCAAAGGGAAGGGAACAGAACACCCACCAAGAAGGAAGGCTTCAGGGCATTCCAACGCCTTTTTGCTTCCGCACAGGCCCCCAGAAGCACCCCGGTGCCGGCACAGAGCCAACGTCTCTCCCCTCTGAGAACACAGAGAGGGGTCCCTAACAGTGCTCCCTCTAAGCTGTGGTGTCCTGTGAGCAGAAAGTCTACTTTCTGAGCTGCCGACATAAAAGTGGTGAGCAGGTGATTTGGCTGCTATGTAAATCAGTGTGCTCCGGAGCCGTCCTTCCTGAGCCAAGGCAAAAATGTGTGAGCCGGAGGCTAAAGAACTGGGAGCTAGCTCACACCGACTCAGCTTAGGGGGAACACTGGTCCCTGGAGGCCCAGGAGGCTGACCTGAAGAGCATCTTCATTCCCTTCATTTACACCCCACCTTTCTCCCCAGCAGGGAACCAAAGACGCTGAGAAGAAGAAGAGATTGGATTTATACCCCGCCCTCCACTCCCCAAAGGAGTCTCAGAGTGGCTGACAAACCCCTTTCCCTTCCCCTCCCCACAACAGACACCCTGGGAGGTGGGTGGGGCTGAGAGAGCTCTGACAGAAACTGCTCTTTTTCAAGGACAGCTCTGAGAGAACTGTGGCTTGCCCAAGGTCATCCAGCCAGGTGCAAGTGGACGAGTGGAGAATCAAACCAAGTTCAACCAGATTAGAGCCTGTGCACTTCACTACACCAAACTGGCTTACATTGCTCTCCTGTCCTCCATTTTATCCTCACAACCAATGCTCCCTTCCAAGCTGTGGAGTCTTGTGAGCAAAAATCCTACTTTGTGAGCTACTGGCCTTAAAGTCGTGAGTGAGCTACTGCATAAATTAGTTTGCTCTGGAGCCGTTCTTCCTGAGCGAAGACAAGAATGTGTGAGCTGGGGGCTAAAAAACTGTGAGCTAGCTCATACTAACTCAGCTTAGAGGGAACACTACTCACAAACAACTCTGGGAGGTGGGTGACGCTGAGAGAGGGTGATGGGCCCAGGGTCTCCCCGCGAGCTTCCATGGCAGAGCGGGAATTTGAACCTGACACTCCTCTAGCCCAGGAATACCCAATGTGGTACCCTTGGGCGCCTGCCAACACCTTTCCTGCCACCCACCAAGTGTTTTCAGAGAGTGGGTGGGGCCAAGTCAGGCACCTGGCCCAGCAGGGTTTCTGATTGGCTGACTGGGCAGATGAAAGTAATGTTCCAGCGGCAGCTGCCGCCACAGTGTTGGTTTTATTCTCTTTTCCTCCTCTTAGCCCCCTTTTCTGCTCAGTGTAGTGGTTAAGAGCACGGAATCTAATCTGGGAGAGCCGGGTTCGATTCCCCACTCCTCCACGTGCAGCCAGCTGGGTGACCTGGGGTCAGTCACAAGCTCTCTTGGAGCTGTTCTCTCGGCAGTTCTCAAAAGAGCTCTCTCAGCCCCACCTACCTCACAGGGTGTCTGTTGTGGGGAAGGGAAGGGAAAGGAGTTTGTAAGCCGCTCTGAGACTCTGTGAACGGCGGGATAGAAGTCCAATCTCTTCTTCTACTTCTCCTCCTCCTCCTCTTCTTCTCCTTCCCCCCCTGCCCTCTGTGTGTGTGACTCCACCTCCCTGCTGGAGTCACTTTGTGGTTGTGCCCCCCCACCCTGTGTCAGAATTCCCAAGGTGCCCACAGGCTCAAAAGGGTTGGGGAGCCCTGCTCTACCCACTATGCCACCCTGGCTCTCTAAAAGCTCCTCCCCAATATAATTGTGGCAGGCTCCTCCCGAGGAGGTGGAAGACAGACCAGAACACAGGAAAAAACAAAACCCAGGGCCCTGCAGTCAGAGAGGCCAGAAGATGGTGAAGGTCTCCCGTCCCTCCTCCCCGCGAGGTCGTTGCTGAGCGTGTGGGAGAAGACGGGCCTCGGGAGAGACCAGAAGCCGCCCAAGTTTCTTCAGGAAAGGGGCCCTGGCCGGGGGTCCATAGCAACTCGCCCCTCTCAACTCTGCGTAGGGAAAAGCGAAAGGAAAGTTTACGGCTCAGCTTTCCTGGGTGCAGACGGGGCTGGACTCCTCTTGTAACGCCAGCCCTTGAGAGCGGCAGCTCAGCTCGTGAAGAGGATGGCATGTTTCAATGGCTGCTACCTGACTTCAGGAGGAAAGACTACAGCTTAGCGACAGAGCCTCAGCTTTGCACGCAGGAGGTCCCAAGTTCAATCCCCAGCAGCACCTCCAGCAGGCGATGGGAAAGGCCTCGGCCCGAGACCCTGGACAGCTGCTGCCAGCCTGAGTAGACAATTCTGATCCTGATGGACCAAGAAGCTCTGATTCTGTACAAGCCAGCTTCCTGTGTCCCTGTGACTTGCTTGGACTAGGGGACTACTAAGAACATAGGAACATAAGAGAAGCCAATGTTGGATCAGGCCAGTGGGCCCATCCAGTCCAACACTCTGTGTCACACAGCGGCCAAAAATACCAGGGGCCATCAGGAGGTCCAGCAGTGGGGCCAGGACACTAGAAGCCCTCCCACTGTTGCCCCCCCCCCCAAGCACCAAGAATACAGAGCATCCCTTGGCCCAGACCAAGAGTCCCTATTTATACCTTGTGGCTAATAGCCACTGATGGACCTCTGCTCCATATGCTTATCTAATTCCCTCTTGAAGCTGTCCATGCTTGTAGCCGCCGCCACCTCCTGTGGCAGTGAATTCCACATGTTAATCACTCTTTGGGTGGAGAAGGACTTCCTTTTATCTGTTCTAACCCGACCGCTCAGCAATTTCATGGAGTGCCCACAAGGAGTTCTTGTCTTGTGAGAAAGGGAGAAAAGTACCTCTTTCTCCACCTGCCCTATCCCACGCATAATCTTGTAAACCTCGATCATGTCACCCCTCAGCCGTCGTTTCTCCTACTCTAGCAGGAGGGCCGAGTCCCGGGGCTCACCAGCAAGTACGGGCGGCTCTGCCGGTTCCCCAGGGCCACCAGCAGCACTTCCTTCACCAGCGGCATCTCGGTCTGGCGCACCACCTCTTCCTTCTTGGCCTCGCCCTGGGTGGCCGGTTGCCCGAAGGAGCTGTCCACCAGCACCCGCTGCCCCATGGGGAAGTTCTTCACGAGGAAGACCAGGCGCCAGTCGGGCAGCTGGTAGATCTGCAGCAGGGAGAGAGACGCGGGCACTAGCAGCCCAGCTGGGACCCAGCGGAGTGGCCCCCTCCCCCCTGGGGCACCGTCCAGGCCTTACCTCCATGGCGCCGTTCTCCCGCACCAGCACGCACCAGTGTGTGGGTTCCACCTTGTACTGGTGGGGGTCCCTATCGGCCGACGGCAGGCTGCAGCGGCGGGGCTCCTCCTTGGCGGGGCTGAACAGCGAGCTGGAGTCCCCGTAGAGCATCTCTTCCTCGTCGTCCACCGTGTTGCTGCGGCAGATGGGAAACAGCTCCGTTGGGAAGGCCCCCGTCTGCTGCAAAGGCTAATCTAGGCATGCAGGGCTCAAGGCTGTATCGCCCAGCTGCAGACTGGGAAAGAGGCGGAACCCGTGCTTCGGGGCAGACGCCTGGGACTGGAAAAGGCTCCAGGACTGAACCACGACACCAGTTTGGTTAAGTGCACGGACTCTAATCTGGGAGAACCGGGTTTGATTCCCCACTCCTCCATTCGCAGCTGCTGGATGACCTTGACCAAGTCTGTCGGAGCAGTTCTTGAAAAGGGCAGTTTCCCTGAGAGCTCTCTCAGCCCCACCTACCTCACAGGCAGTGTTCCCTCTAAGCTGAGTTAGTGTGAGCTAGCTCACGGTCTTTTAGCCTCCAGCTCACACATTTTTGCCTTCGCTCAGGAAGGATGGCTCCAGAGCAAACTAATTGATGCCGTAGCCAAATCGCTCGCTCACGACGTTAATGCCAGTAGCTCACAAAGTAGAATTTTTGCTCACAAGACTCGACAGCTTAGAGGGAGCATTGCTCACAGGGTGTCTGTCGTGGGGAGGGGAAGGGAAAGGAGTTTGTGAGCCGCTCTGAGACTCCTTCGGGTAGTGAAGGTAAAGGTAAAGGTTCCCTTGCTCGAAAGCCAGTCGAGTCCGACTCTAGGGTTGCGGTGCTCATCTCTGTTTCAAAGCCGAAGAGCCAGCGCTGTCCGAAGACGTTTCCGTGGTCATGTGGCCGGCATGACTAGACACCGAGGCGCACGGAAGGCTGTTACCTCCCCACCGAAGCGGTACCTATTTATCTACTTGCAATTTCTTGCTTTCGAACTGCTAGGTTGGCAGGAGCTGGAACCAGAGACGGGCGCTCACTCCGTCATGTGGCACACTCGGGTCTCGAACTGCTGAAGCACCGACCTTCCAAAGCCTGCAAGTTCAGCATCTTAACCACTTGAGCCACCGCAGCTCCCAAGGTAGTGAAGGGCCATGGGGGTATAGATCCAACCTCCTCCCCTACTGCAAGGATCAGTGAATAGATCAGGGGGCCCCCAACACGGTGCCCGTGGACACCATGGTGCCTGCAAAGCGTTTTTAGAACTAGGGTGGGGTCGGGGGGGGACTTCCTGCCCAGCAGGCCTTCTGATTGGCTGTGCAAAATCAATATTAGTTTAGCTGCAGGTGCTGCCAGAATGTCGATTTTATTCTCTCACACACTCTTTTTACAGAGTGTATTTTTTAAAATTACTATTATTTGTGCACCCTACACTTGGGTTTCCACTGTGTGTGGCTCCGCCTCGTGTGGTAGCCACTTTGGGGTTGGCTCCGCCTCCCACGGCAGCCATGTTGTGGTTGAGCCTACCACCCTGAGTCAGAATTCCAAAGGTGCCTCTCGGATTAAAATGACTGGGACCCCTGGGATAGATGAATGACCTCGCGACGGTGTTCTTTACCCTGCGGCTTCCATCAATCCCAGAGACCTGGCGACTCACCCAGAATCTAAGAAAACGAGGCCCTGCCCTTCTCTCCTACCTCCTCTCAGCTGCACTCAACTGTCACACCTGACCCCAAGAAGGCAGCGCTCTAAATTGCCCCACCTGATGTCTTGGATGGGTGTCTCGGACTCCGACTGGCTCCTCAAGGAAAGCTCATCCCGCGAGCTGGACGAGTGGCTCTCGGTGCTGAACATGCCGCTGACGTCCCGATACACACAGAGCGCAATCACCTTCGATTGCTAGCGAGGAGACAAGGAAACAGCGGATCAGCACGGGATGGGTGGATTCCCACGCAAGCTGAGCTGGGTGGAATCGGATGCAGCATCTGATACCCAAGAGGAACCTCAGCTTTTAAGCCCGTCGTCCCACTTCGCCAGCACCTGCACAGGTGAGGTCACACCCCGAATGTCAAGGAAGCTCAATTTTCTCTTTCTAAAACACGTAAATACAGAGCTGAATGCAAAATAATCTGTGCCATTCAAGCAAATTTGCCTGTGCTCTGTGTTATTTACTTAAAGGGACGTAGAGGGGCCCATGCCAACGCTCCCTCTAAGCTGTGGAATCTTGTGAGCAAAAATTCTACTCTGTGAGCTACTGGCATTAAAGCTGTGAGCGAGCGATTGGGCTGCTGCATCAATTAGTTTGCTCTGGAGCCATTCTTCCTGAGCTGAGACAGAAATCTGTGAGCCGGAGGCTAAAAAACTGCGAGCTAGCTCACACAAGTTCAGCTTAGAGGGAACACTGGTCCATGCAAAGGGGTCCACCCCCCCCCAAAAAAAAACCCTCTGCAGTCTGGAAAGATGTTTCCTCTGCAACCAATCATACAGGGTAGTAAAGGTTCCCTTGCTCAAAAGCCAGTCGAATCCGACTCTAGGGTTGCGGTGCTCATCTCCCTTTCCAAGCCGAAGAGCCAGCGCTGTCCGAAGACGTTTCTATGGTCATGTGGCCGGCATGACTAAACACCATGGCGCACGGAACGCTGTTACCTTCCCACTGAAGTGGTACCTATTTATCTACTTGCAGTTTCTTGCTTTCGAACTGCTAGGTTGGCAGGAGCATACAGGGTAGACACCTTTTTAAAAACATAGGTGTTTCAGATGCTAACATCTGCGCCACATGCCAAAGGCTGCACCTGCTCAGTGTGACCAAAAGCCCTGGTATTGTCAGGTAGCCCTGTCATAGATCTGGAATGTGGAGGGGTACCCTCCTTCTCGTTCCCAGCTCACTCCTGCTCAGCTAACTGTGCGCTATCTTATGCTTGGCCTTGTAGACGTTCCAGCTGCAGTTTACACGGCTGGGAAAGTTAACGGTTTTTAAGCTTTACCTGCTTGCCTTGCTGCGCGCGCGAAACGTATCTATTGGCTTATGCTTCCAGGGGAGGATGTTTGATTTCACTATAAGTCAGAGGCCCGTATACTGACGGCCATTCCTGACACAAGCTGTACACGTGTTCTTTAGTACCGGAGGCACTAATAAAGCAGTTATCTTCTTCTGAAGCCCTGTGTGGTGTGACCTGACTAAGGAGCCTGACAGGTATGCGCAATGCCGAGCAGCATCGAGAAAGACGCCTCCCCGCCCCTCAGCAGTGATTACGACCAGCTCCTCCACGTGCTCGAAGCCCCTTACTCACGTGGTGCAGCTGCGGCTTCTGCAAGGTGAGGCGGTGCGTCCGGCCCCCGTAGGTGTCGCTCTTCAGCACAAACATCGTCACCTGCCCCTCGGAGCTCATGATGACCACATAGGGGTCGGCCACAGCGCAGTGCACAATCGGCGAGCCGAGATCCACGGGGATGAAGTGCAGCTGGTTCACTGCGAGGCACAGTCAGAGCCACAGTGTTGGTGCCTGATCCAACACTGGCTTCTCTTCTTATGTTCTTAACCCAGTTTATGTCCTCCCCCCCCCGCTCTCTTTTCCCACTGGCTCGCTTTGCGGGACAGGCGCTCCCTCACGGAAGAGGCACCCTGAAGGCAGCGCCGGAGCGCCCGGCAGCACTCACCGCCTTCCAGCAGGCGGATGCCCAAGGGAGACACCTGGACGATGTAGCGGTTCTCGCCAATGTTGCCGGCATACACGGTGGGCCCCTGCGTGGCAAAGCCGCTCGTATCCAGCTCCATGATCTCCTGGCCAGTCTGTAGAATCTGAAGAGGCAAAAACCGGGGGGAAGGGGAGGCAACGTGAAGGTCAGCAGAGAACTGGCACTCCCATTCGGGCTTGGAAACACATCAACGTTTGTGTGCCTTTACTGAACATAGCAAGATCCAAACATGAAGCTGGAGACAAAATGCCTGGTGACTGACCCATCCAGACACTGTTTTGTCTCAGACACAAGTTCAGGTAGGGGACAAGAATATTTATGAGCAGCCCTCTCATGGGGCCGGAGCTCTCTGGAGCCCCGCTCCGGGAGTGACCAGCCCAGGGGTCGGGGCGGTCACATGACCAAGCCCCGCCCCCTGCTCCCAGCAGCCAGCCCTGTCTCACCCGGCTGGGTTTGGGAGCACAGCCGGCCGGCCAGGCAGCAAGCAGGGGGAGCCGTGGGTGGGAGGCGCCCGGCCACGTGCTGGCGCAGCCACTGCCAGGGACAAAGCCCGCCCGGGAGTCGCCGCCTGCAGGGGGAAACCGCCGGATGGCCACGGCTGGAGCGCCAGGGGGGGAGGAGGACGCCACCACTGCCGCGATGGAGCCCTTCTTGGCCGAGGTGAGCGGGTGAGCTAGCTCCTCGCGAGGAGACGCGCCTGAGACGGAGCTGGGGCCGGGGGGGCCGCCAGGAGGGGCTTCTCCTTCTCTTGGTCGGGGCGGAAAGTTTGCAAGCCTCTGCCGGCGCCGCCCGCGCCCCCCTGACCGACGCCACTGGGATTGTGCGCAGGGTGTTGGTGGTGGGAGACTGGCCAAGGGAAGGGAAATGCGTGATTGGAACTCGCGGCCCGAGCCTAAGCGGCTTATCCAGCTGCCGCTCTGCTCCTCGTGTTCCGGGCGGGACCCGCCGCTTGTTTTGCTTCTGCTTCCCCGCGGATCCCGGTGTGGTCCGGGAACGGCCCCCCTCGCGCTGCCGCTCTTTTCCCCCTGCAGGCCCTGCGAATGGCCATGGAGTGCTTCAGGGAAGGCGGGGGTCTTTCCGGGCTGCTTCCTTGCGGTCGTCGTCTGTGTCCCTTGTTTGTCCCTGTCACTGCGGGGGGGTGTGTCCCCCCCGACGTGTTCTGCTCTCTCGAGTAGACCCAGAGGAGCCAGACTCGACCGGAAAAGTGGGGAGGAGGAACACAGGTGTGCACCCGAAGCCATAGGGACACGCGCGAGGGAAACCAACGACAAGGCAGGAGTGGCCCTCGGTTGGCCCCAGGCCGGCCCGGGATTGAGCTCCGTCCCGCTTCCATGTCTGGCTTCCCAGCTTCGCAAGCAGCTTCTCAACGCTTCGCCAGGGCTTTGCCGGGGTTCAGGTGGAAGTGTGGCCGAGAGGAGCCCTTCCTTCCAGGACTGGAGGCCCGGCCCAGACGCGCCCGCCGGAACTGGAGGGAGGGAGGGAGAAGGCCTCCTGGTGGGAATGGCTGGCAGAGATGTGGGTGTGCACGTTGTATTCCGGGAGGATCGCTGCTGAACAGCGCAGCCCTGACGCGCAGGCTTCCTTGGGGAGGCTTCCGAGGATACCCGCTTCGGTCTGCCCCCAGACAGGCTTCACTCGGGCTGGATCGGGCCCTATGGGTGCCTTTTGTCCGTCCCCCTCCCGCCATCGGGGTGCGCAGCTGGGCGCGCTTCTCGGGCCGTGGGACGCAACTTCTGTGCTGCACTGAGGTCGGTACGCCGACAAGGCTCCCCCCCCTTTTTTTTGGCTGGGCTCACTGAGCACATCTGTGACCTGCAGTGCCAGAAGAAAAGCGCCAGCTTCGCCAGGTTGCCTGCGCGCAGAAGGGGCGGGAAAGAGTTTGCTCGAAAGCCGGGACGTGGAGAA